GGGAATATTTGTTATATATAAAGGGTAAATATGAAAAAAAGTGATTTATTACTTCTTAAAACTACAGATGTGACAAGTATTTTAGAACAAACTATTTTCTAAAATGTAACAAATATTATAGAACGCAAGTATTACATAATTTTTTATAAATGCTATCATTAAAAGTTCTTATTAATTCTCTTAACGAATATGTTAATATTAACCGGTTAATTTTTGTTATTTCAAATACTTATATTATACTTCATTATTAGCTATTAACTTTTGCAAAAGTAATTGTGTCACTTTATTAAATTTAATATTTTAATTTACATATCCTTTTAGTTTATCTCATTTTAATTATCTTTTGTAAATTCTTCTTTACTTGATTTATAATATCATAATATATATTTAAGAACTAGTGGACATGGTTAAATTCTTTTCTTGGTATAAGAATGGGGTTAAAATTATTAAAATAAATAAAAAGTAATTTATAAAAGATATTTCCACCAATTTAAAAAAATATTTATCCAAATGAAATTTTAAAAAAAATGTCTAATTAAAAACAATGATATGTATTTGTGAAGTAATTTAAAAAGACATTTTTTCTACTAAAACAAAAAAAAAAAAAAAAAGAAATTTGCAAAGTTGCAAAGAATATATATATATATATATATACACACACACTCACACAACAAGTAATATGTACTTTTTACGGTAGGTTAGCATGCCAAATAACATAAAAAGATAGTTTCTCTATCTGCACAAAATTTTTTGAATCCGTATCATGGTAAAACCATGTAGTTAATGGTCAAAAATGTCTTAAATCAAAAAAGAAATTTAACAGTAATAATGCAGTGCATATAAAATATTATGTTCATATTTAAACTATAAAATATTATGTTCATATTTAAACATTCTATAAGAAGGATTACAGTTGTGTAGTTAACACATCAATATATATATATATATATAGCAAACATTTATTCCTAGAAAGTTGACATGTGGCATATCCATTTTGACATTTTAATTTGACATGTGGAATATTTCTCCAATTAGGCTTTCACTTAGCATGGTTTGATTTGATTATTTAATGTATTAATGTGTTGACTTAGTTTGATTTGGTTTGGATTTATTTTGAATTAGTGTTTTTGGTTTGGTTTGATTTGATTATTCAATGTATTAATGTATTGGTTTAGTTTGAATTCATTTTGAGCTAGTGTTTTTTATTTGGTTTGATTTAGATTTATTTAGATTAAGTGTTTTTAGTTTGGTTTGATTTGATTCGGTTATTTAATGTATTAATGACTTTAGATAATTATTATTAATTATTAGTTCTTAAAAATGATAAAGTTTAATAACAATGAATTATTCAATTAATGTATTAATTTGTAACAAAATAAATTATCTATTCATGAATTTTAATGAAACAATGAGTTAATTATTTTTTATATTAATTTTAAAATAAATCAAATTAATGAATTTAACCAGCTTTCATTTTACTATTTTTAAAATTTTTTTTTTTTTGAAGAAAAAATGACCACTATGTTATTAAATGTAATGGGAAAGGAGAACATTAGGGACACTCTCCCAAATACAAAATGGTAAAAAGCGAATGGATGCTCTAGCAAGGGAATGAGCAGCACCATTCATAGTACGCCGAATCCATCAAATCTGAATATCCGGCCTATCAACTAAGAGTTGCTTACAATCTTCCACAATAATCCCAAATTCCGAAAAATCTAAAGTTTGAGAATTCAAAGCACAAAATAAAACCTGGCAATCAACAAAAATACAACCACTAGACTGATAATGAGCACCAATAAAAAGTAGAGCAGAACGAAAAGCCAAAGCTTCAGCTGTAGCAAGCGGCTTGCATCCCACAGAATGACTAGACACTGCTTGCAAGAACATGCCTTCACCATCCTCAAACACCACCGCACCACCTGTTACATCTTCTTGGAAATAGTGAAGCATCACAAAACGCATGCCAACCAACATTATCCAAGTTGACACACGGCCCCACACTTGACCCATTTCCATGCAAAATTCTTTGTCCTGTAGCTATGCTTAAATTAACAAAAGAACGTCATTCCATACAATGATTAGAAACCATGCATGCAATCTAGGCGGGTTGCAACAAGGTTGCCGACCAGCAAAATTCATTTCGTGCCTTCCATAAATTCCATGCCAGAAAAGCCAAGAGATCGTGCCTTCCATAAATTCCATAAATTTATCCCTATAAATTTCAATTTTTTTAATCCATTATTCCTGAACATATACCTATCTATTAATTTTTATTTCAATGATAAAAAATGACGATATATTTTTTTACTATTAATATATCTTTATAATATTTTTTAACAACATAATAAAAAAATTTTATTGAAAAATCTATAAATTATATATAAATTCTTTCAATTTTACTTTATTTTACTTTTTTTTAACCGTGCATATTGCTAGTATTTCTAGTAAAGTTAGATGAATTATAAAATAGTTTATATTTTCATTAACATGTTATCAGAAAATAAAAAATTTTGTCAAAGCGTACGATACAAAATAATAAATTTTTGTTATATATTATAAAAAAAGTAAAGAATTTTATAAAAAAGATGATTTATTTCGTAAAAATTGTCACTGCAAAATAATTTCTACTTTTATGACATGTAAAAAAACACAATGTTTTGTAAAAAAATATACATTTTTAGTAAAAAAAAAAAAGAGCATTTTTATCAATATATTATAAGATAATAAAAAATGTAGTAAAAGTGAAAATTACAAGAAAATTTGTAATTTTTCATCTAGTTAATACTTAATTATTTAAAATAAATTATTCATTCATGAATTTTAATGAAATAACGAGTTAATTATTTTTTACATTAATTTTAAAATAAATCAAACATTAATTTTTTAAAATAATAAAGTTAATGAATTTCCACCTTTCATTTTCTTTTTTTTTTATAATTTATCCTATAAATTTAATATTTTTAGATCTATATTCTCAAGTACAATCCTGATCTTATTATTTTTTATTAATTTTTACTTTAATAATAAAAAATCTCGCTATATAATTTTTTTACTATTGATATATCTTTATAATATTTTTTAATAACATAATAAGAGAAAATTTATTCAAAAATCTATAAATTATATATATATTCTCTCAATTTTACTTTATTCTACTTTTTTTAACTGTGCATAGCACGGTTATATTACTAATATTTCTAGTAAAGTTAAATGAATGATAAAATAGTTTATATTTTCATAAATATGTGATAAGAAAATAAAAAATTTCGTAAAAATGTTCGATACAAAATAATATATTTTTGTCCATATATTATAAAAAAGTAAAGAATTTTATAAAAAAAAGATTTATTTCGTAAAAGTTGTCACTGCAAAATAACTTCTACTTTCATGACATGTGAAAAAACAAAATGATTTGTAAAAAATATACATTTTTAGTAAAAGTTAAGTGAGTTAAAAAAGAAGGACATTTTTATCAATATATTATAAGATAATAAAAAATCTAGTAAAAGTGAAAATTACAAGATAGTTAATACTTAATAATAAACCTCCAACTGTAGAGAATCAACATGTATGCTTTCGCATGTCAATTTAAGCATGCAGCTTTACAATATTGCTGCTAGTTGTCACATGTCAAAATGATTTGTTTTTATCTTTTTTATTGTCAATTGTTTTTTAGCAAAGACAATTTCTGACACGCAAAGTTGGATGCAATTTGATTTTTAGCTTCCTATTGTAGACAGCTTGTGATTCTTACTTAGATGAAATGCAATTTCTGAGTTTCTGATATGTGAATTTGGAACTAATACCCAAAAAAAATACCCAAAAAAAAAACATCAATCATACCTTTTCTTCTTTTTTAATTATACATCAAGAATTATCTAACGCTATACAAAGAATAATATATCCAAATATTATATTAAAAGTTTTGGGGGGATATTTCAGTTAAAGTAACATTGAAGTGCACTTCACGTTATGGTGGGTTATGATCAATGTTGGATTTAGCTGGACTACCCGTTTAATTTGTCCTAATAAGAACCAAATGCCAAGAATCTTAATCTATATCCCAGGTAAAATCTTTTTAAAAAAATGTTAAGTTCGAATTAGGATTAATTTTCAGATTAAAGTACATTGACGTGCACTTTCAGTTATGTGGGGTATATGATCAATGTTGGATTTAGCTGGACTACCCGTTAATTTGTCCTAATAAGACCAAATGCCAAGAATCTTAATCTAATATTCAGGTAAAATCTTTTTAAAAAAATGTTAAGTTTCGAATTATATTAAAGTAAAAATTATATCTAACATCGATGACTTTAAATTTTAGATCTCTCGATCATTTCGCAACGGAGGAATACAACTTTTCATGCAATGGTTAAAACTAAAAAAAATGTAAAGTTATCTAACTAGGGTTTGGCTTGTAAATAGATTAAACCCTAATTGTGAAAAAACGGGAACCCTAATTAATAAAATATGCATTACTTTTTTTGAAAAAAAAATAAGACGACGCAGCCTGGAGAATACTAAAGAAAAGGATTGTGATTCTGATTGGGACCGAACGGCATGTAAAGAAAGACAAGAAAAGGGACAAAGGGCGGTGGTGACCTGACCAGTAAGAGGTTTGGGTCGGGTGTGGTGGCGTATATGGTGGGGCAAGAAGTGTGGTGGCTGCATTGGACAGACGTCAGAGGCAACTTGGTAATGGGAGGATGTGAGAGTGGTGGTGAAGGGTGGGAAGGGGATGATTTAAATCACAAAAGGCCATGTCTTGTTTGGCTGCTTCATTTTCCACCTTAATTCCACACTCTCTGTCTCTCATTTCAATCCAACAATTCATATATCCATAAGTTGTATTCTCTTTTAGGCAGTAGATCATAAAAGTTTTCAATCCTCCCAATAAAATGGATTTTCAGAAATCTAATTTGTCCATATATTATAAAAAAAAGTAAAGAATTTTATTTAAAAAAATGATTTATTTCTTAAATGTTTTCACTGCAAGATAATTTCTACTTTTACGAGATATTATAAGATAATAAAAAATCTAGTAAAAGTGAAAATTACAAGATAATTTGTAAGTTCTCATCAAAATACTTAATAATAAACCTCCAACTGTAGAGAATCCAATTAGTCACTGGAGAAAGGCTGGACATTTCTTTTCTAATAAAAACTCAATAACTACGCTAAAAAAAAGGGAAAGACGAAATTAGATTCACTAAACAGAGCTTACCTTTTCAAATTAGATTCACTAAACAGAGCTTACCTTTTCTTCTACAATTTTATCTTCATTATCCTTTTTAATTTTCTGTTGCTTAAGAAAATTGAGTACTTCTCCAAGAGCAACATCAGGATCATCACTCTTCAATAATTCCTCAGCCAAAGAACCAGGAGTGGCCTCCGCACTTTGTATCAACCCATCAATTTCTTCTAGCAGTTTATGCTCTTTAATTCCAAGGTAATTGTGCACCAAAACTCTAAATCCTTCACTGGTACAATATGACATGTGAATGTGCATATCCATTCTGCCAGGACGAAGCAATGCTGGGTCCAAAACTTCCTTGTGATTTGTCGTAAACACTATTATCCTCTCTTCTCCACAGCTTGACCACAATCCATCAATACAATTTAGCAGACCAGAGAGCGAAAATTGCTGATTGATCCAAATTAAGAGAAACAAAAACAAGTTTTAACCAATCCCACCTCTAAAATAAAAATATCAACAAAACAGAGCAAAACAGAGTAGACTTATCCCATTTCTAAAATAAAAGTATCAACAAAACAGAGCATAAGAGAGTAGACCAAAACAGAACAGATACTAACCTGGACATCATCAGAATCATCAGATTCTGATCTTGATCGATTATGCGCAGTAGAATTGCAATCTATGTCCTCAATCACAGTTATGGACTTTCTATCAATATCCAGCATAGCGTTTCTCAAATCAGCATCAGAAGTAATATTGGCCAGCTCCAAATCAAACACATCAAACTTGAGGTAATTAGCCATAGCTGCAATTAAGCTTGATTTTCCAGTGCCAGGAGGACCATAAAGTAAGTATCCTCTTTTCCAAGCCTTTCCAATTCTCTTATAGTAGTCTTTCCTTGCCAAGAACCTATCTATATCATCTATCTATGATAAACTCTTAGATTGTGATCATCGCTAGCGCATCAAATGTCGAGTGGATGTCGAAATCAATGGAATCCAACCCGCGAGACCTTGTATAAAGCTTTAAACAACTTTTTCGCTTTGTCATGGCCTTGGAGGGTATCAGAAATGATGGTTTTAAGTAACCATTAAGATTTTTCTCTATATTGATCTCAATTTTAGTTCAAAATAACCTTTGTTATAGGAATTTATTCATTCTTGCGATCGATCGTCCGTTTTCTTGCTGCAAATTGCCATGGTGAATTTCTATCCTTCCATAGACAGCAACAACTTTCTCACCTTCTACTAAGGCAGCTGTTACATCTTTGCCTCTAAACTTCATTTTGATAATCTTTGTTTTTTAGGGCCGATCTTGGAAGACAATAGAATCTTGCTGCGTCGTATGAGTTTGGTTGCGATCCAAGCGTCCCACGAATCAATCAGATTAATGAAGTTTATTCATAAGAAGGAGATGATTTTCTACGCAGAGAGAAGAGCAAGGAATTTTGAGACAGAATAAAGTATCGAGCTCTTGGGTACTAGATTCATGGGTAAAGCTCTACGCAGAGCATTAAAGGAAGTGGAAAATGAAGCGTAACAAGGAAGATAAGGAGGATGGTTGAAGGGGAGGATGTTGAAGGGTAAAATCTCGTATTCTCTACAAAAGAATAAGCCATGGTTGGGTGTTTTTGGACAAGATAGAGCAGTAAGAACTATTTCGAGTGTTTTCGGACAAAATGAAGAAATTTTTCGGACAAGATGAAGAAGCAAGAACTGTTAGTGTCTGAAGCCAAGATCAATATCAAGAAGCAATATTGAAGAGAAGAGAATGTGGGAGTGGTACTCTGCTTATAAATAAGTGAAACTGTGAAAGCAAGCAGTGGAAATTGAAGAGAAGGTTCCAGATTAGTGCTTGGTGGGTGTGGCGTGTGCGAATGGAGTTCCTGCTTTTTTTTTATTAGTTCGGAGTATTCTTTGACTGCGCTGTCGGTGCAAATTGCAAACTGATAAATCTAAAATCATAATTTAAAAAGATTATGTTTTTTTATAGGAAAATAGATTAATTTAATTTAGTTTAAAATATTTGACAAATTAATTTATTGGTTTAATTTATGATTTTAAATTTAAAACAGTCCATATTACCAAAAAAAAAAAATGTAAGGGTCCAAATCAAACTAAACAAAAAATATAAGCCAACACATAAATTTATCTTTAAACTTTGTTATTTTGATCTTATAACACCTTCAATTTTTATTTTCACCAATCAAACACTTCAACTTATAAAATTACATTTATGAAACGCTTTAATTTTCAAATTTATTTTATTAAACACTTCAATTTACAAAATTAGATCGATTAAACACTCATTAAAAAAAGTTAAAATTTATGAAAATTATTTTTTAAAAATCATGCTAACTACATGTTGAGTTGATATTTTCCAGATAAAAGTCAAAAATAGTAAAAATTATTAATATTATTGTTAAAATGTGTATAATATTATCAAAATTTATAAATTCATATGCACAATCGGTCATTCGTAAAGTTTAGGATGCCACAAAAAATAAAATCGTACAATGATGAATTTATGTGCACGGCAACAAAAAAAAAAAAAAAAAAAAAAAAAAAAATAATATATATATATATATATATATATATATTATATATATAAATATTTTTTTAATGTATAATTGAGATTAGTAAACTTATTTCATCATTAAGTAATTGCACAACTCAAATTTTTATGTGTTTCCACTAATAAAAAGTTAGATTAATTTTTTTTTAATTCATAAAAAATTTATAATGTATAACTATTTAATTATATTTTTTATAAAATAAGCTAAACTAAATGGAATTCATGTTAGATTACTTTATTCGGTTCATCTAAAATATATTATATATATATTATATATATATAAAAGATGTCTAATAAACGAAAATGATACGTTGGAAATACTTCAAATTCGATATTTTTCCGTCGATATTAGAAGACTTGGAAAGAACAATTTAGAATATACCAAAGTTCCAATTAGGTATCTATGGCTTCTCACATTTCTACTTCTCATTTCTCACATTTTAAATATTTTTATCAACCGCCGTTATTAATGTAATTATGTACATTTCCGGCTCTCAAACTAATTAAGAAGAATAAAAAAATAATCCATTCTTCGAAATTTCTGAAGAGTTGGTGGGCAAGTTTTGAATAGAAAAGAATCAACACTTAGGAGGTACGTTTACTGGTATGCTGATGTCATGCACGATGATATGAGGATGACGTCTGATAATAGCACTGAACCGAATCAGGTGCGTCCACGTGTTGGCCGATTCTACGAGGTAAGAGATTTGTCCTGCAACTTATTCTCTTAATCAAAAAATTTTAAAAAATGCTTCAAAAGAATGTAATTTTAAACTTAGTAAATAATTTTAAAGGGTAAAAAAAAAGTTAAAAATAATATAAGTTTAGACTAATTATTTCTCTCTTTTTTTACAATTTTACTTTTTAGATTTTTAACTTTTAAAGTAAACTGTATTTTTTTTTTTAAAATCTTAAGTAAATTATATCATCCAGTAAAATATTATTGAGACTTTTACAGATATATAAAATAGGCTAAGTTATTATCATTTTAAAAATAAAAATAGAAAATTTTTGGTTCGAACTGGACTGGAATCGCCGATTAACCGTCGGTTCAGGCCAGTTCAGGTTCAGATTTTAACATTTACATGAACCTTAACCGACCTTTGAACCGCCGGTTTCGATTCAAAACTTTGAACTTCAATTTATCTACAATACAGTTCGATTCCGGTTCAAAATGAACCGTGGCTATGCCTAGTGAAATAGTTTAGTGCTTAGAATCAGAAATACATTCCAAAATATGGCGTCAGTACAAAAGCAAAGATAAGGAGGGTGTTTCAGTAATTTAACAATAAACAACAGCATTTTTCACTACAAAAGTCTCTAGAATTATAGGATTTATGTAAAATGGAGAGATTAAAAAACGCAAAGTCTAAGCACATTTCTATATTTTTCTGCATATTTCAAAAATGAATTTTAAATATAATATTCTTGGTTTTTGAAATATTAGAGGGAAAATGAAAATGTTAAAAATGTTTAAAATGAAAATGTTAAAAATGTTTATTTCATATTTAAGTTTATTCTGACTCCTTTCTTTGTAAGCCAAAAAATCCATGATTGAGACTATAAAAGAATCGCTCAACAGAATTGCAAATCAAGAGAGGGAAAGCTTCTGAGTTTTATTTTTTTTGTAGTGGGCGTTTGGACGGCGCCGTAACATACGCTCGATAGGTTTTGGGTCAGATCAGCTTTTTGGAACGCACGGTTTGTCCTCTTTGTAACCGAATGACCAAAATACCCACAGAGATTCCTAGCGTCGTCCACATGCTAATCCATGGGCAAAATTGTCAAACTGTGAAAAGGGGCGGTTACAATTTGGAAGCGAGACGCGGACCAGACCATGGTTACAATTTGGAAGCGAGACGCGGACCAGACCATGTATATATATCGTTTGTCTTCTTCCTTGTTTAATCTTTACAACTGCAAAATCTACGTATAATGCACCTAAAAAGACTGCACAGGAAAACCAGTCCACCTAACCTAGCCATATACATTACTGCATCTATTTGCGTTAGCTTTTAATCCTATTAACCGGTTCAAAATTGCAAATCAAGAGAGAGAGAGCTTCTGAGTTTTATCTTCAAATTTTAGAGTAAATTTCTCTGCTCTTCATCCCCTTAAGTTTTTCTTCTCTATTTCTATTTTTTGAGATATCTTTGAGAAAAGAAAAGATTTTTTCAACAATAAATTTTTTAAGAACGATTTCTGACTTTCGCTGACTTTCATCTGTTTTGAAAAATAAACTTTTAATATAGCCCCAATCCATTGTTCAGTAGAATTTGTTTGACGAAGAATTATACAATAATCGGGGAAAGCGTACCTTTTGATCCATAACGTAAGATCTATGTTGATGGGTTACCTCGTTGGGACAATTCGATTCTCACCGCGTAACAGTAGATCTGACATTTCTTCACTCTGGCCTTTTTTGTCCGTAAGTGCTCTCTTAATGGTTCAGAGAATAATCACACCTGCAGGAGTTTCTTTTATGAGCTCTCTCAAACAAACTATTTTCGTATCATGTTTGAGGGGAAGCCGTCACCACTCTCTTTGTTTTCTGTCTGTTGACCCTAATCTGTTGATTCACTTTATTCTTTTATAAGGCCATAGGAGGTATTAAAACCCTAACTGCTTCTTATCCATTAAGGCCCAATGAAACCATCATCTTTGGGCCACCTTTATTAAACCATCCCTTTTAATCACATGGGCCACATACAGATTATTAAAATTAATCTAACAATCTCCCACTTACCCATTGTGCCTTTTCTTGAGTCTATCATGTTTACCTTAATTTTGAATTAAGATGATCGGGAATTTCATTGGCGGTCACAACAGTCATTGAATAATATGATTCCTTCCATATATCCACAGACCACTTCAAATTTCATAAAACTTTAATGGAAGGAAACTATTCAACAATTTACAAATACATTGTTTACAAATCAACTGTTATTGTATCTCACTCCAACCATTATTGTATACATCTATAATGTGGATAACACATAAATATAAGCAAAAACACAAATCTTCTAATTGAATTCCCAAGTGTTCCACAAAATTAATATGCAGCAAAACAACCATAATGTATATATATATATATTATATAATAATATATATTATTATATTACAAGTTTAAACCATTTCATGCTAACAAGGACTTATCTATAATTTGCCCTCCTATCAACATGCGCCAGTGGAAGAATTTTGGGCGGTAGGGCCTTTAGAGGTGGATCCGCTATTCATCAGCATTCAGTACCGATATTCATCAGATCAGTACCGATATACTCAATTGACACCTTGTGTTTTTGCACTTCTTCTTTCACAAATAGGTATTTTAAATCCATGTGCTTTGCACCCTTATAATACCTAT